GTGTACAGGTGGTTAAGGTAAGAATAGCCCAGGGTCCAAAGTCCAAAAGTGCTCCCCAAATTCTGGGACCAGAACCGCCATTTATACCCTACTAACATTTACTTACCGCTGCGAGTAAAGCTAAAATATAGCAACTAACAAATCATAAATACTATTAAAATAACAAATGTCCTGTTTATTATATCACCGGTTGATCATGGATTGTACGATTCGTTGATTATGGATTGTTCGATCCATTGCAAAGTTTACTAAAACGGAATTAAGAGATTTGCATTGTCTGTCATAGACAGGTCAAAAGTTGTAACACTGATTGTAAATGGATCCTGTTAGAATATCGCAAAGGGAAAATTTATCAAATTATTCACTAATTTAATTTTCTAAAAGATTACATGATGATTTTTCGGAATAAACGGACGATAGATACCTAATTATTTAAATATAATGCCAGATCTAGAGTTATTAAACTACAGTTTTAATATATTTAAGGTTATAAACGTATCCATGAAATATTTTTATATTTCACTTCTTCTTTCACACAATTGCAATGAAATAGTATTAGCGATTTAAGTTGAAAGGAAAGAAGTAATTAAAGCCTCGATTTTAACAGATAATGATCAGTTAGGATTTTACGGAAGTTATGAACCTCGATCTGAATAAAGGGAGTTTATACGGTACACTCTCTATACACTCTCTCGGATCTCAACTATAGCCTGATCATTTGATTTTGGCCTGCTTATCGTTGTGCAGCAACACTCGTACAATATTAACCCCATTTCTATCTTTAAGTAAACTGAAATACAAGTGATAACAAAACTAATGGTATTGATTTAGAAAATCAATGATTAACCCGAAATCTCGAGCAGATTTTTTTTTTTCTGTTGGCATTACAGACCAGTTTGATTTTTTGCCGCCTTGACTATGTGTCTTAGGCTATTTCTTTCTATTTACCTGCACGCGCAGCTCTATTGCATCTTTGTAGATTATATCTATCCATTTGCTTTTTGTAGAGGCTTGCTATATGCTCATCTTAACCTCCGTGCCTTCATATCATGTTGCTCTTGATTGATTGCTAATGGTTGACCAGTTTCTGTAAGCAGCTCTTTATTGGTCTTTCTTCTCTATGTGTTAGAACTCGCTCCAGTTATCGTGCGGAGTATTTTTCTCTCAAATCTTTCAACACTTATTTCTAGGATGCAAGTTAGTGTCCAAGTCTCACAGCCATATATTATAACTAGCTTTATCGTAACACTTAATTTGAGTTGTTTTGGAATTTCTCTTTAAAACGGAGAAGAAAGCTCTAGTTCCTCCAGTTATACGCTGGTTTATTTCTATCAGTTGATTATTCATAGAGGTTATTTTGGAGCCTAGGTATTCGAATTTTTCCACTATAGGGAATGATTTTCCTTCTACGCAAATCCTGTTATTATGGTTGGCTTATTAACATATATTTATTTCTGTGTTCATTTACTTGTAGGCCGATTTGCTCTGCCTCTCTTATTAGAGCAGAAATAAAAAATGAAAATTAGTAAGAACATAATTTTAACTCCTAATACCACGGCAAATTGAGGTTAATATCGATTCTATTTGACGAAATCGAATTAATGCGATTGTTAAGAATATAATGCAAATGAAATGCGGCAGCCATTGGACATAAGGAATGGAAGATTATGAGCTTTTAATTTAACGCTGTTTGTTAGGAGAAAAAAACTGATTAGGCTCAACGTTTCCTATTTATATGTCCTTCTCTCGTACAGTAGCGCTGTACGAGAGAAGGACATATTTCTTAAGGCCGTGTATTTCTCAATTTGTACATACATATACATTTAATTTTTCTTATAAAACTAACACGATTTTTATAAAATTACATGATGCAGGTTATACAGTAATGCAGGTCATACTTTCGTAATAAAACATATGAGGAAAAAAAAAAGACAAGAAAAGTATATTGAAATCAAAGCAAAGAAAAAACAATTTTCTATAATAATATTATTATTTACTTCGGCCTTCTTGGAGAGGTTTGAGATCAACTTCAGTAGTAAAAATTAATTGAACAATATTTTTTTTTTCAATTCTTTTTTGATATTACAATCTGTCACATCTAAGGGCCATAGTAATATTGATATAAGCTCATTAACAATCTACGTACAATAAATAAACAGCAAAATAATAACGCTAAAAGTGAATGTATATAAATTAAAAGAAACTATACCAAACAAAATAATTATTTTACTAATTATTTATACGCATATGTGTATTTAAGTAATTACTTAAATACACATATGCGTTTATACAATACAATGTTTACAAAATTCATTCACTCAATATCCCGCTCGAAAAGAAAAGGCCGGACTGAAGGAGATCCCAGCGTCTCTTACTCAGCCATATTGCTGGTAGATTGAAATAAATTCATTGAAACAATTCAGTTTACAAATAAAATTATAAGTGCATCAGTATAATGCGAATATGAGTTATATAATTATAATTAGTTGGCCGGTGCAGAATAATTCTTATATTATATTGGTCTGTGGACAAAGGACAATATAATATAAATAAGTAAGTGCAATATATTATAAGATAGTGGAAATTATTTAGAGGAATCGCATATTTTCATTTCATGATAATACACAAATCCATAGGCTGTATCTTTGTTTAAACAACTCCCCCCCATTTCGATTAATATTTTTTTGTGTAGGGGATTTAGTTATCTTTCAATTGATAATGGGCACAATCAAGAAAAAATTGTATACTTTTTTAATTATTTGAAAATAAATTTTCTGCTCCTTCATAACTTCTTGACTATATTTCCCACATGGAGGAGAATATCTTCAAAATGAGGACACAATCATTGAAATCACCGAGCCCGTAGAAAAAAAGGTGTCATGTTTCATTCTAAGGTTTGTCCTTGTAAATTAACCATATTCACAGTCCTGATGAGAAAAATTCACGACTGCCAGCATATAGCCGCTGGAATACAAAATGGTGCCCAGGTTAAGAGAGATAGAGATGCTATATATGTAGTGACAGCTATAGGGAGGAATTATTAATGAGAATTATAGAATAGCTATGGAATTACAGATATAGCTATCAACCCTTGAAATTTATAGTATTTTTAGCCTCAAGACAAGAAATTGACATAAAAAAACCAACAATTATTTTTTGATTGGTTTTTAATCTATAGATCGGTAAACTTTGTCTATTTAATGTAGTATTAAACATCTGGTGCGCGCAACACACAACTTTCACTTACCGCTCTACTTTGAATAGAAATTATTTTCTGGCAATGTTGGATTATTATAACATTTTTGTAGCGTATTTTAAACGGAGCTAAAACTCAAAGCTTACAGATCACAAATCATTAAGACCATTACAATAACAATATTGTAATATTGTACAAAATACAAGTTGACGTTTATAGATATTAAAACTTGATTGAATGTTATCCTCATCAGAATGAAACCCAAATTTGATAATTTGAAATAAGATGATTTATCCATTAACATCCTTCTATATGTTAATAGGTACTCGTAGGGAGCCTCCAACTGTAGTATATAGCGACTGCTCGCGGTTGACCACTGCTTTAGTGGAATAGAAAGAAACCTATTTCGCTGGCACTGCTCGGCAGTCTAGGTATGACGTCATTTCTAAGCTGCTCCTATCTGACCGCTCCTCAAGCAGTGGAGCTGTTGGCGGTTCGGCGGTTTTAGGTTATGTTATCATATCAGAGCATTGTTTTGATGATAACAGTCACGCCGATACGTTTTCTATGTTTCTTTCAAGTCTGGCAAAATTATAAAAAATATTGTTTAAAACTGAAGCAATGCAATAGTAAATTATTTTTTTAAGGTTGAAGTAATAAGATTATTTATTTATTTATTTATTCCACCAGCAATATTTTACAGCGAAATACAAATATACCTAAATCCAAACGATATTAAATAAATTAAAGAATCCAACAAAGTTTATCGTCAGATAAATACTAAAATCCACCCATTGAAAAATCGATTTGTTTTTTTTAATTAAAGTGGTGATTTACTGATTACTATTGATAAAACTATAAAACATCGCAAGCTGAGATTTGATTACAAATATATGATATTTATTACTAATCAATTACGTATTAATTACTATTACTTTTCAAACTAATAATACCTAATATCAGAGGGACTATTGTTGTTAGTACGGAGTTTCCCGCCTGTTTGTTCTTTTTTGGTTGTTCATCTAGACAATAGCAAACAATGTCCAAGAAGGGATTTGATGATGAGCATCTCATCGAAATACTGATATTCCTTCTCTTTATGAACAACATTTTCTCTTCTTTTTCCTCTTCAAATAAAAAAGCGGTAGTCAGAGATGTTCATTATTATAGGATGTTCATTTTTATTATTATATTATGTCCATCTTTTTATCTTCGAAGATACAGGGAAATGTTCGAAGGTTATAGGCAGGTTATAACAAGCGCAGTGAGCAGTTTCAGCGAAATAGCTACGCCAACAGCGATTGGCATCTAGGAATAGCGGTCGCTGTTCTGGACCGCGCCAGCCAAATAGTACCTTTACGTATCCAATGTATATGGTTTTGAGAGTAATGCGATGGCTCCAGGATTTGATCCTGCCTGCTTTCTGAGTACTACTGTCCGGTTTACTGCCTTGACAACACATCTGTCTATTTTACTCTTCAGTGTGGGTCTTTTGTAAAATTTTACTCCTAGATTGACCGAAGGTCATCCTTGGTTGCTTATTTTGAAATTAAGAGTATCTGGGATACTTGATATAGTTCCATGAATCGAAAACAAACAGGACACCAAAAGCCACATAGATCAATCAGACATATGTTGATGGAATGAATAACATTATGATGTTAATCACATCTAGCAGCATTATGATTAAAGGAATGTTCCTTGATCTGTGTTCCTTACAATCTGTTCCGTTTCAGGTAGAATGGCGCCCAAGTTAGACTTTATACCGACAGTGGACAAGTGCTGCTGCCTGTTGGAGCTACCCTTAGGTTCCCTCATCATCGGCATCGCCGAACTTCTTCTGCCTGGGTTCTTCATCGGCTACCACAATTACGGCTACAGCTGCGGGAACAGATGGGGTGGATACCATACCTACTGTTTGGGCGAATGGGCCTATTACACATGGATCCTGCTCTATTTGTTTTTCGTCATATCGGCCATTTTCGTCATCATCGTCTTCATCGTGCCGAAGCAGAAGGACCTCCTCCTAGCTGCCGTCATCATCCAACTAATATTGATAATCGTCTATTTAGTCATGGTCCTCGTCGCCTTCGTTCTATTGTTCCTCGACGATCTATTAAAAAGTGCTTTCATATCACTAGTCGTGGGTTTAATAATTCTTTGTTTGTTCGCTTACTTTCTCTGCGTACTGCACAGTTGGTATAAAACATTGTAAAATTTGATAGTAACTAATAAATTGCAAATCAGAAGTAATTTTATTTTTATTTTTTTCTATTTGACAGTGATTTAATAAGGCGAATTGAGTATCATAAAAAAATATTATATAAAATATATGTATATTGACAGTATAAATGTTAAAATAATATTTGTGAATCTCTGGCCAAATGAAAAGCTAATGTTCATTAGCTGGATATTCTTCCATCAAGGTTCAAATCTTTTTCGGTATGTGTAACCTCTCTAATGGCATGTTCTAAATTCTATTAAGTATGATAAAAATTAAACATACATTTTTTATACCTATTTTTAATCCAAATGTTCAACGAAACTCGTTATCATTTGGTTTACGACACCATCTTTTCACCTATCTAACTCGGTGTTGCATTAAGATAATAACCTTTGAATAATAGGTTCATTAAATAGAGGATGAAATGCTGAACATTTACCTCGCTTACAGTATGTATGTAATCACTTCATATAGTCGACTCGAAACAGAATTTACCCGAATGAGTATAACATAACCGAGCCTGACGGGTGAGTCTCACTCAACCCAAAAAAAGTACAAAGCACGCCTGAAGAAGTTTTTACTTCGAAAACCTTTAATTAAATTAATTTTCTGATAAGCTCCAACTGGACAAATGGGTTTTTCAAAAAGTAGATATTCTGGTTCAAAATGTCCTATAACTATGAATAGTATGACTATACTGTATGATAGTAGACATCCCATTTACTCCTTTATGTGACATTGTGTGAGGGAATTAGAAAGAATACATAGGAATGTGAGGTTGCACGATGAATTGTACTCAATTATGCAGTGGGCAAATTATTCATTGAAAAGTCTCATATCGATAAAGAAGAAAGAAGGAAAATGACGGAGCAGGTAGCAACAGCTGGAGGAGGACGCTGAAGAGAAGAGAGACGGCACTTGAGGCTTGAGCACGGAGGCGAGATGACGCTACCTGAGATGAGAGAGGCAGGACATCGAAGACCAAGAATATCAAGCCTACAGTTATAAGACTTTAATAGATTCACTAATTACAGTTGTAAAATAAATTGTTTTGCTGGACAGGAGTGAAAAGTCATTTATTTATTTAGTTGTCCTAGAGGCCTCCCAATTGAAGAATAACAAACCAGGTGAGTCAATCCATTCAAATTGTGTTTACTAAGTCCCACATTTCAGATACATATATTCTTATTGTTTCTTGTCACTCAGTGTCACAAAAATTATTAGGTTCCCGAATTCCCAACAACAGTTAAACATCCTCAAAAAGTCTATATCCAGTGACGGGGTTTTGTTTTATTATTCACGAGTGTAAATAACCTAGTTCCCCGATATAAAGCGGGAGAATATTTACAATTCCCGCCAAACAAATTATTAGCAATTAACTTTTAACATGTCATTTACAGTATTACACAATTATAATACCGATTATACAATCTTTGCCAAATGATGACCAGTACCGCTGTTTATTTTGCATCTCATTATATTAACTTAGTTTGATTTAACTTATAATTAATGCTGGATATTATTTTTTTGCCAAATAAGTTCTTCTGAATTTAATCCAGTGTATGTTTCCAGCCAGGATCAATTCGTAATCATTTTTTGATGTCCGATCTCTGATGTGTAACGCTCGGGTAAAGTCGCCTTGAGTCGACGAATTTGACGAATTGAAGTCAAAAAATTAAAAATCCAACCTGCATACTGTAAGCAAAGGAAATGTTCAGTATTTAATCCTATGTGTAATGGGCTATTATTAAAACTTGTATCTTATCGCGACGCTGTTTTAGAGAGGGGAAAAGTAAAAAAATAGTTTCGAAAATGAAATAATAACGAGTTTTATTGATGATATGGATTAAAATATTTCAGAAAATAAAAATTCTGGCCTGGTTACTCTAAGCGAGGGAATTGTTTCAGTGTTTCATCCTTTCTATAATGAGCTATTATTTATAATTTATATTATTAATCTCACCTTGATGATGTTTTCACATCTATTGTGTGGTCAAACAACTTAGTTTGTATTTTTTTTTTAATTGGATCAAAGAGTTAAATAAAATCTTTTATCCATTGACTTGTTGATAAGAAAATTCGTTATCTACTAAAGTGATCGATCAATACGTGCATGAATTTCTTATACGATCTATTTCCAAAGAATGGTTCTAGTTTTGACATCAAACAGATAATTCTACTTCTTCGTGCTTTGTTCTCGCACAAACAGAACAGCTTTTATAAAAATTTCTAAATAAATTATCCAAGTTCTTGAAATGGAATGAGTGAATGTGAATTATTTCTTTTAAATTGGCAACCACTATATAACGATAATAATCATGCAGTCTTTGAATTAGTTTAAACCCAAAATTAACAAAATATTTTTTTATTCTATCTCTCAGTCTTTTAAAAATAACGTTTTGTCGTTTTTCATTATTGTTTGCTAATGTCTAATATATCTTTCAATTCAATCAAATTAGACACATGAATCGCATCATTTTCAAAATATTCTAGAACGGGTTACTTTAACAATAGATCCGGTGAAACGTTGTCTTTTTCTTTCTTGTAAATAATCTTGAAGTTGAATTGGGAAAGGTAATGAACTGATTCATCATAGTCTTTAGGTTTTCCAATGATTTGTGATCACTACACTCTGTAAAATCACGTCCAATTAAATAATATTGTCAATTTTTGGTAGCATTCTTAATAACTTTACATTACAAATATTAATGTCCATTTTTTTTTTCTCCTCTTCTAGTAATTTTCTTGAAAAATAGGCAACTATTCTTCCATTCACAATCCAAGTATTTTTCCATCATTTTGAGTCTGCTTTAATACCTTTGATACTAGCATCTGTTTGAATAAATATATCTTTGTCAGTATTATTAATCGCCAAATTTGGTTATGAGCATAAATATTCTTTGATTAGATTAAAAAACTTCTCACAATCATCTGTCCAATCAAACTTCCTGTACTTTTCCTTAACTAATCATGGAAAGGTTCAAACTTTTCTGCACTTTTGTCAATATGTATAAATATAAAAATTGATTGTACCTAGTATGCAACGAACGCCAGATTTGTCTGTTGGTCTTGAAAGATCTTTAATGGCGATTAAAATCTGTTGTTCAGGTGATGTTTTTTTTCCCCGAATAAAATGTCCAAGATACTTTACAGAATTAACACTTTTCTGAGATTTCTGAGATTATCTTAGAGAGATTTTAGCTTACAATCTTCATTCTCGACAACCTGAAAAAGTTTACTAATTTGAATCATATGGTCCTCGCATATGTTTCAAAATATTAAATTGCCAGCTATATGAAAACTGGAAAAATCATCTAAATTGTTTCTTCTTAAAATATTTGACAGAATAATTAAAAAAATTACTAGGGAATTCATAAACCCAAAGGGAAGAACTCTTAAGAATGGATTTTTCAAACTTCGTGAGAAACGATGTTTTCTCTCCGTCTTGGTCCCGTTAAGGTACTATTTCGCTGGTACTGCCCACGGCAGTGACTGCTGGCGGTTGAGCACTGCTTTAGTGGAATTGAAAGGAACCTATTTCGTTGGCGCTGCTCGGCAGTCTAGCTATGACGTCATATATACACTGCTCCTTTCTGACCCTGACCGCTTCTGTGAAGCTGTTGGCAGTACGGCGGTTATATATTTTGTTATCATATCGGAGCACTGTTTTGATGATATAAATCACCTTGAAACGTTTCATTTTTAGTTTTTATTATCAAATCTGGCAAAATTCAATGAAATATTGTTTAAAATTTAAACAAAGCTATAATTTTTTTAGATTAAAAAACTTCTCACAATCATCTGTCCAATCAAACTTTCTGTACTTTTCCTTAACTAATCATGGAAAGGTTCAAACTTTTCTGCACTTTTGTCAATATGTATAAATATAAAAATTGATTGTACCTAGTATGCAACGAACGCCAGATTTGTCTGTTGGTCTTGAAAGTAACAAGTAACAAGTAACAAGATTATAAAGTAACAAGATTATTTATTAATTTCACCAAAAGTATTTTACAGAGAAATTCAAATATACCTAATTTAAAACGACATTAAATAAATTAAATAATCCAACCAATTTTAAAATCTGTGTAAATACATAGGCATACATACATATAATAATAATAATAAGAATAATAAAAGGTTTAGCGAACCCGAAGGTTCGATGCCGACACCACCAATCGCTTATTAAACACCTTCCTCCACCGTTCGCCGTCCAAACCCAGTCCCTTCGGATCGGCTTTAATGCAATCTTCCGCCTTCGCTTCGGTCTACCCCTCGGACGCTTACCATTCGGCACAGCAAATATTAATTTTTTTGGAATTCTCTCGTTACTAAGCCCAACAACTTTACAAGCCCATTTCATACGCCGCGACAAAATTGCCTCAATTATATTACCCGGATACAGTTAACGCAATTCGGCGTTGTGTAACCGTCTGAACTCTCCGGTTAACTCATCCTTCTTCGGTCCGAATATTGTACGCAATACTTTATTTTAAAAAACCTTAAGACGCTGCTCATCCCTTAATGTAAGCGGCCAAGTTTCGCATCCATAAAGAACTGTAGGCAAGATAATTGTTTTATAGATTCCAATTTTTAAGTTTCGGGACAAGAGGCGCGAACTAAGTAGTTTTGTCACAGAAAAATATTATATTTTTTAAATATATATATATATATATATATATATATATATATATATATATATATATATATATATATATATATATATATATATATATATATATAAAGCTATAATTCGAAATAGTATCTTAACGCGACACTGTGTTAGGGAGACGAAAAGGAAAAACTATTATCGAAAACCAAATGATAACGTGGTTAGTTTAGAGAAGGAGGCTAGAGTAAGAGAGCGAAAAAGATAGTGTCCAAAACCAAATGATAATTTAGAGTACAAATTATAACATTGAAATTTTATTATGACAACATTATTAATGATATATGATAAATAAGAAGAGAAATAATATAAATGATAATAATAGCAGAAATTCTTGGGCATAATGTTAAATACGTAATAATATAACATTACATAACCTTCCAACTGGAGATTTCCACATAAATATTATACAGTCGTTGGACACAACATAAACTAGTAAATATCACTAATTTAAATAAGCAAATTACAAATCATTAAGGTAATTTTCAGATTGACTTTGCTTTGATGCCTACATTTTATGCAATTGGACTTTGTTATTAACTTTAAAAATGTCTTATGAAACTAATTTAAATTAATTAACCCCAAGTACAATACACCTAGAATATATTGATTAGTAAAGTTAAATAAAAGTGGCGCTCCACTTACTCCTATTATCAGTAATATCAATGATGAAACCGAAAAATTCGGCTATTTCAATATTTCAAGTATTTCAATTCTACACTCAATAACCTAAAATCAGATAGTAACAGTGATAAAAAATCTGGTGAGGACAACACACAACTTTCACTTACCGCTTAACTTTGAATAGAAATTATTTCCTGTCCATGTCCGGCTATTATAAAATTTTAAATTTAAAACATTCTATTTATTTATGCAGTGGACTGTATTTTAATGGATTGTTAGGTTGTACAAATTGTTCATAAACAGCTTACCTTTTTTACATCTCTTTGTTACCTGAGGGCGCCTTCGGAGCATCTGTTGTCTCTGGCTCTTAGTGCTGTAATGCTGAGAGACAATTTAATCCTACGGATTAAATGTTATCTTTGAGATCTTCTGATCTAATTTAACTTGCTAAAAGGTTATTTGGTGATTTTTTTTAAATAAACGGTCAATAGATACCTAATTATTTGAATATAATACCAAATCTAGAGTTATCAAATTACAGTTAATGTATGATTTTTTTTTTCTATTTACTTCTACTATGAGTTAGTTGTTGGTGTTGGTGGTGGTGGTGTCATCGATTTATACCAACTGTTGATTACACAGAGGAAGTAGGCAAAGAGGGCTAAGACTAATAAACCGACTACGAAGGATATGACAGCCTTCTGATTCGTATCGTGGATGATCCCAACAACGAACTCTATGATGCTATTGGCTAATAGGAAGAATATCAGTGTCAGCTGGATGAGGACGGCGGAGGAGAGGACGTTTTTCTGCTTCGGGATGATGGAGGTGATAATGATGAAAATATCAGATATGATGAAGATCACGTAGAAGATTATCGTTAAGTAATACGACCATTCGCCCAAAGCGGTTTCGCCGTCGTCTGTGCCGAAAATCATGTAGCCGCAGCAGAGCCCGATCAGGATGATTTCCACGATGCCGATGATGAGGGAACCTATAGGTAGCTCCAAGAGGCAGAAGCACTTGTCCACTGTTGGTATAAAGTCTAAGCTAGGTACCATTCTACCTGAAACATAACAAATTGTAAGCACCGAAAAAGGAACATCCCTTTAATCTATATCATCTATATTTTGGATTGTAAGGATTGGATACGAGAGGAATTCGATGGCTTAGTGGAGCCCCAAAGCTCAACTCCGTCCAAATAGGTCTTATTGTATTCATGTATATAAGTCTTTTGTAATTAACTGGAAGCTTAGAGCGTTTGTCTAGTAAGTGCTGGAGTAGTCGGAAACGTCAAGCGGTTTCTTGTCGTTTCAGTCTGGTATGAGGAATCCAAGTTAGACGTTTGTCCAAGTGAAGTCCAAGGTATCGGATTTGTTCAACAGGGATAAGTGGGGTATTATTAAAGGATACTGTGGGACATGAGTTTATAGGTTTACAACTCTAGATTTGATATTACGTTTAAATAATAAGATATCTATTGGCCGATTATTAGAAAACATCAAGTAACCTTTTGTAAAATTAAATTAGTGAACAATTTGATTAATTTTTCCTTTGTGAAATCCACCTACAATTTGTGTGACAACTTTTGACCTACCCATGGCAGGCAATGAAAATCTCGTAATTCCATTTTAGTAAACTTTACAATAGAAATTAACAAATAAATAAGTATAAACATAAATATTCCTACAATCAATAAACATTTATTGCTCGTTTTTATTTGGCCAGATATAACATTTTAATTTTGTACTTTTTTGTTATTCTGAAGGGACTTCGCCCCAGAATAAAATTATTTTCTATTCTATTCTATTCTAGTAATTTGATGTTAAGTAATACATGGTTTAACTAGCATCTGCCTGTAACTGTTTTCTGAAAAGCTGTCATGCTCCAATAAATTTATAGGTTAAATTTTCAGATGTACTTACAAATTCCTCAAGGCATATATGAGGCTTTCGGTTTACAGAATGACTAACTCCAATTTCAACATTTTTCATTAGTGATGTTTCTAGTGGCAAAATCTGTATGCCTCTATTCATAGTTCATAGTATTTATTTACTCTGGAATCAACTTACTCACTGTCTGTAAAGATATAACTTCTCCAATTAGAAATATCACTAAAATGACGTGACTCAAATATATTGAAAATGGAGTTCGTCATTCTGTCAACTAAAACGGGTTAGAGACTGAACTTGTATAGTTTATGGTGATATGGTTATAAATTGTAGAGATGGAATAACTAGATTTGTTATCTGTAAGCTTTAAGCTTTAGCACCGTTTAGAATGCACTTTAAAAATTTTATAATAGCCAACATTGCCAGAAAATAATTTCTATTCAAAGTAGAGCGGTAAGTATTATAATTTCAAATAGATCGGTTCCTAACATGCCTTATATAAGGAAAAAAACAGGAAACTTTGAACACATTTTAAACTGATATAGATTAAAGGGATGTCCCTTTTTCGGTGCTTACGATTTGTTATGTTTCAGGTAGAATGGCAGCTGTCTCAGACTTTATACCGACAGTCGAGAAGTGCTGCTGCTGCCTGAACCTACCTATAGGTTCCCTCGTCATCGCCATCGTGGAAATCATCCTGATCGGGCTCTGCTGCGGCTCCATGATTTTCGGAGTAGGCCACGCCGAAAACAATTGGGGCCAATGGTCGTTTTACCTAACGATAATCATCTGCGTGATCTTCATCATAACTGACATTTTAATCATTATCACCTACATTTTCCCGAAGCAGAAAAACTTCTACTCCTCCGTCGTCTACACCCAGCTGGTATGGATATTATACCGATTAGTCAATGGCATCATCATGTTGGTTTTTGGGATCATCGACGATGTGATCCTGAAGTCTGTCATAGCCTTCATAGTCAATTTATTATTCTTAGCTCTGATTTCCTACTTCCTCTGTGTAATCCACAGTTGGTATAAATCAATGACAACACCACCACCAACACCAAGAACAAACGCATAGTAGAAATAAATATTTAAAAGATCAATGATATTTATAAAGTTTTACAGCAACTAATAAATTAAAAATCAGAAGTTAATTTATTTTATTTTTTTAATTTAACAGTGATTTTATTTAGCAAATTGTGTATCATAAAAAAATTGTACTTGTGTGAAATAAGAAGTAAAATAAAAAAAAAAAATATTTCACGGAAATGTTTATAAACCTTAAATACATTAATTGTAATTTGATAACTCCAGATTTATTATTATATTCAAATAATTAGGTATCTATTGACTGTTTATTAAAAAAAAAATCACCAAGTAACCTTACAGCAAATTAAATTAGATCGGAAGATCTAAATGATAACATTTATTCCGTACGAGCGCCGGTTCTCTCAACATTACAGCACTAAGAACCAGAGACAACAGATGCTCCTAGGGCGCCCTCAGGTAACAAAGAGGTCTTAATCAGGCATAAAAACTGTAAGCTGTTTATAAATTTGTATAACCTACCAATATAATAATATGCAGTCCACTACATAAATAATTTGAATGTTGCATCTTGAGAAATCATAAGAGTTATTTGCCTTGCCATAATTTAAAATTTGGAAAGTTGCCTAAATACTATGTGTTAGTACTACTAACACTTAGTATTTAGGCAACTTTCCAAGTTATGAAAGATTTTCCTCTCAAATCTTTCATAACTCCTTTCTAATTAGTGCTCAGGTCCAATAGACACTCTTAGTATTTGTACACCCTTAATTTGAAATATCATGTTTTTTTTTGGGGAGGGGGACGGGGAATTTCAATACCTCTGAAAGAGAGATAAAAGCTCAGATGGCACTCGTTATTCGTTGGTCTAATTATGACCATTGGTCACTCATTGAGGTTATTTTGGAGCTGAGTTATTTGAAAGAACGATTTCTCTTCGACACAGATCTTAGAAGCAGCAGAGCACTTTTCGACAGTGGGACTAAAGTGTAAATTATTTAATAAAATAAATGAGATAAAATTTATTTTAATATTATTGTACAAATGTACTCTACTTTGATGAGTGGCGCAAGATCTCATGATCACACCATATATATACAGAATCCCGAGAACGGCGGAGTGTGTCCGAATGCAGACGAAGGTAACCGAACCGTCTGGTAAGGTCCCGACGTCAACTGAAAGGTTTTTTTTCCTAACCCCTTTCAAGCGATCCAAGTTGAAAGTAGAGATGTAATTAAAGCCCCGATTTTAACTGATAATGACCAGTTAGGATTTTAACACTCTACAGTAATAAATGAAAAAATCTGGTGCGCGCAACACAACATTTACTTACCGCTGTGAGTAAAGCTAAAATATAGCAACTAACAAATCATAAATACTATTAAAATAACAAATGTCCTGTTTATTATATCACCGGTTGATCATGGATTGTATGATTCGTTGATTATGGATTGTTCGATCCTTTGATTATGGATTGAACGACTATAAGTTATTAAACTGTTATTTTCCATTGCAAAGTTTACTAAAACGGAATTAAGAGATTTGCATTGTCTGTCATAAGACAGGTCAAAAGTTATAACACTGATTGAAAATGGATCCTGTTAGAATATCGCAAAGGGAAAATTTATCAAATTATTCACTAATTTAATTTTCTAAAAGATTGCATGATGATTTTTCGGAATAAACGGACGATAGATACCTAATTATTTAAATATAAAGCCAGATCTAGAGTTATTAAACTACAGTTTTAATACATTTAAGGTTATAAATGTATCCATGAAATATTTTTATATTTCATTTCTTCTTTCACACAATTGCAATGAAATAGTATCTTAAACAATGAAATTAGATATTAGATATTGTTTTTTCTAAAATTCTCCTCTCTCCAACGATATATTATACGTATACCTTCTGACTTCTGATTCATTTTCGATCCGCATAAGAATTTTTATTTTTTTCTCCTTTATTCATTTATCAAATTCTTTCAAAAGTTATACTTAGCATTTTTTTTGTAACTTTTAATAATGATAGATAGTTGACTATTTAAAATAAACCATATTAAAGGTATTGGAAGATGCATATGAACATCCCTGTAAAGTGACATCAGCAGGGATAAGACCTAAAGGATATTAAAGAAAACTTAATTATACAATGACACACCGAGTTTAATCAAAATCGTTAGAGCCGTTTTTGAGAAAATTGTAAAAATGTGTTTCAGTGTTGATATTTATTTTATTATTTATTTCTTTTATCGTGTATATAAGTACGCGTCTGTTTTTTTGCTTAGTTTTAATTTTCTTATTTTTAGGTTATTTTATTTTATTACTTATTGTATATACTTTTGATTATTATTTTTCTTCTATTTATTTTATTTTTTTTGTACATATAGTGTGAATGTTATCCTACCTCACTATAACCAATGTCCAAGGGACAGATTGTTTTAATACTCAATAAAAAATTTTTTTTTAAATTCATTGAGAGAAAAATACATTTTGCCTCAAATAAGGGCATTGAGTATTTAGGATGTATGAAACACAATCATAAAATAATAAAAGAAAAACAAGATTATAACAAAACAAAATTTGGAATAGAAGAATAAATCAAATATGAAACAACATTAAACAAAAAAAAAATTAAAAACACATTCATACATATTTACAATGTTTACAGTCAGCCGAGGGAGCTCCGAGTCGAGCCTTTTCCCCCACGTGTGGAAAACAAGGCAAGACTCCAAGAGATCCCAGCGTTTTTCTCTCAGCCGCATCACTGGGGTGGGAATCCAGTGGAGACTAAGAGAGGGCACTAAAGCCACATACGCTCATGAATTGTGTGGAGAAGCTGGCCAGTGCCAGGGCTTCATTGACGTATTTACAAAAGATCTCGAGGCCACTGCCGCTTCAACCTTCGACGAGGATTGTACGGATGACTGGAACTGGATAAGGATTGTGGTAAGGGATCCGGATGATGGATTAGGTTCTGATGAAAATTGGGATGGAATAACGTCAAGGCCGTAAGGGATGTTAAGGTCATGATTTAAGGTTTTGTTCGTAACATAATGAGGAGCGTTGACTATTATACGGAGGACTTTAGAGTGGAAGGATTGGATGCGTTTGATG